CACGCTGGACTATCAGCTGCCAAGCCTCCCACCACCCCGTGCACCTTCCTAAATTGCCTCTTCCCCTCCTCCTTCTCATATTCCTCTCCTCCGTTCCCAAAATCTATTCTCTATATCCCTCTGCTCCTCCCAAACAACTGTATATTGTGTCCTCACTGCTTCCTTCGCTCCTCTACGGCACCCACCACCTCCTCCTAATACTCCACTCTCCCACTGACCCGAACACCTCCACTGGTAGACTTACACCCTCCTGCACATCCTGCTCCCATGCCACCTTTGTCACCCTTCTTCTCCTCCTAACCGTGGGGGACATCTCCCCGAACCCTGGCCCTCCACCACCTCGCTCACCCACACAGCACCCTCCCGCTTCCACGTACTGCCGCAGACCCCTCAACCTAGTATCTGTCCCCCTGCTCCCTAAAACCCCCCCCCCCCCCCCCCCGTTTTTGTGTGCACTCCTGAACGCCCGATCGGTGTGCAACAAGCTCCCCGCCATCCACAACCTCTTTGTTTCCCGCTCCCTCAACCTCCTAGCGATCGCGGAAACGGATCCAGGCCACTGACTCTACCTCTCCTGCTGCACTCTCCTATGGAGGTCTCATCTGGACCCACTCACCCAGACCCAACGGTCGTAAAGGTGGTGGGGTTGGTCTCCTGTCACCACAGAGCACCTTCCGAGTTCTCCCAAACCCCCCCTCTCTATCCTTCTCCTCCTTCAAGGCCCACTGCATCCGACTATTCTCCCTAACCCCCCTGAAGATTGCCATAATCTACCGGCCTCCTGGACCCGTATCCCTCTTCCTTGATGACTTTTCCTCCTGGCTACACTTCTTTCTCTCCTCCGAGCTACCCACCATCATCCTTAGGGATTTCAACATCCCTGTCAACATTGACAACCCGGCCACATCCCAACTCCTCCACCTAACCTCCTTTGCACTCGCACAGTGCATACAATCCACCACCCACTCCGATGGAAATATCCTGGACCTTGTCTTCTCCCACCTCTGCGCTCCCCACTACCTCACTAACACCCCCTTCCCTCTCTCTGACCACAACCTTATTACCTTCTCTATCTCCTCATCCTCTAACGCCTACCCCTCCAAATGTCATACTACTACCAGCCAAAACCTCCGCAACCTGAACCCTGCCCCCCTCCACTCAGCAGCTGATCAACTCCACGACAGCATCCTCCCCCTGTCCTGCCCCGACCTGGCTATGACTGCCTATAACAGCTCTCTGTCAACCGCCCTTGACTCACTAGCGCCTTTAACCACACGAAACATAAGACCCCGACTGCTCCAGCCCTGGGAGACTGATCACACCAAAACTCTCAAACGACACAGTCGTGCCCTGGAGCGACTATGGCGTGAAACCAGATCCCAAAAAGCCTTCGCCTGCTATAAATCTGCCTTCCACACCTACACCTCCTCCCTCCATGCTGCCAAACAAGCCTACTTCCTGACCCTCATCAAAACCCTCTCCTCCAATCCTCGCCGACTCTTCTCCACCTTTTATTCTCTACTCTCTCCACCCCAACCTCCACCAACACCTCACTCACCGCCCTTGAGATTGCCAATCACTTCAAAAACAAGATTGACACAATCCGCAGGGACATCGTCACTGCTCAAACTCCCTCCAAACCCGTCCCGTCTCACACAGCCACCCCCTCATCACCCCTCTCCCTCGGCCCCACCACTGCTTTGACCTCCACCCCACCTAACATTCCTCACACTGAAGCCCCCTCAACACTCCACACCTTCGACCTTACTACCATCGAGGAGGACTCCAAGGTCTTCTCTGATGCCCACCTCACCACCTGCCCCTCGATCCTATCCCTTCACAACTCCTACGACCTCCCTCCCCCTCCATCCTACGCTCCCTCACCCACATCTTTGATCTCTCCCTCTCTTCCGGTGCATTCCCCTCCCCTCTGAAGCACGCACACATCACCCCCATACTTAAAAAGCCCTCCCTGGACTCCAATGACCCGAACAACCTCAGACCCAACTCCCTGCTCCCATTCACATCCAAACTCCTCGAGCACTTAGTCTACAATCGCCTAAGCTCTCACCTCAACGACAACAACCTCCTCGATCCCCTACAGTCCGGCTTCCATCCCCTACACTCCACCGAAACTCCCTTACTCAAACTCTCCAACGACCTTCTAACCACCAAAGCTAATGGCCACTATTCAGTGGCCATTAGCCACTCCTCGAACCTCTCCGCGGCCTTCGACACAGTCGACCACCCCCCCTCCTCAAAAGACTACACTCCCTCGGCCTCAGAGATTCCGCTCTCTCCTGGCTCATTATACCTATCACAACGCTCTTTCAGCGTTGCCTATAACGCTACCACCTCTCCCTCACTCCCCCTCTCCGTTGGGGTCCCTCAAGGCTCCGTCCTCAGGCCCGTTCTCTTCTCCATCTACACCTCCTCCTTTGGCCAACTCATACACTCTCACGGCTTCAACTACCACCTCTATGCCGACAACACACAAATCTATCTCTCCACCCCTTGCCTTACCCCCTCAGTCTCCGCCCGAAACACAAACCTACTAAACGACATATCAGACTGGATGTCGCTCCACTTCCTTAAACTGAACGTCTCCAAAACCGAGCTCCTAGTCTTCCCCCTAGCCCGCACACCACCTCCTATTGACTTCTCCATCACTTCCAACAATGCCACTATCAGGCCCACCCTGCAGGCCAGAGTACTTGGTGTCATTCTGGACTCCAACCTATCCTTCCAGTCCCAAGTCCAATCACTAACAAACTCATGCAGACTCCACCTCCGCAACATCGCCAAAATCCGCACGTTCCTAACCCCAGAAACCACTAAACAGCTCATCCACTCCCTCATCATATCACAACTCGATTACTGCAACTCCCTCCTCACTGCCTGCCTCGCCATAGGCTTTCCCCACTTCAGTCAATCCTGAATACGGCAGCCCGACTCATTCACCTTACCAACTTGCTTCATTTCCTCCACCCCCCTCTGCCAATCCCTCCACTGGCTTCCGATTGCACAACGGATCAAATTCAGAATCCTAACACTGATGTACAAAGCTGTCCACCATACTGCCCCAAATTACATCACGGACCTAATATCCAAGTACCACCCAACACGCACACTCTGCTCCTCACAAGACCTCCTTCTCTCTAGTTCCCTGGTCTCCTCCTCCCATGCCCGCCTCCAGGATTTCTCCAGGGTGTCACCCATCCTCTGGAACTCCCTACCCCAACCCATCAGACTATCACCAACTCTCCTCTCCTTTAGGCACTCCCTGAAAACCCATCTCTTCAGGGAAGCCTACCCCACCCCCTGCTAACTTGCCGACCTCCTCCACTCTTCCTACCACTCCATCCCCCACAGCTATCTCCTCCTGTGCCACCATCCCCTCCCTCCTAGATTGTAAGCTCGAAAGAGCAGGGCCCTCAATCGCCTCATGTTTTGCATTGTATTGGTATTGTTCTGTCACATGTTCTGTCCCCCTTTGTAATGTACAGCGCTGAGCGAACTATTGGTGCTTTATAAATACTGTATAATAATAATAAAAATGCTCAGTGAAGCCAATGCAGCAGCTAGCACCTCTCTCTTTGGCTGCCTGTCAGTGATTCATTTCAAAGCCAAGAAAAGCTTCCCACAGGTTTCTTCTTAACACTGAAACATCACATGACAAAACAAAAGATGGAGCCAGGGAGGCAGAACATCTCACATTCCTCACTGTATGTCTCACTAATTTCTGTAGGTTAAGGAGAGAAAAAATGACCTGGAATGGAAGGGGTGCAAAAAAGTGGGGGAAGAATTGGGGTGGAAGTTGATTTGTGCAAAGGAGGGGAGATTTAAAGTTGAAGGTCATTTGTGCTAAGAGGAGGTATTTGGGGGAGGTGATTTGTGCAAGGGAGGTTGTGGTGTGGGGATTTGTGTTAGAAGGGGAGTTTGGTGTGCTAGGAAGGGAGATTTGTTAAGGAGGGAGATTTGTGCTAGAGGGGCAGATTTTGGACCAAGGAGGATTTGTGCTAGAAGGGGGTTTTGGGGGAGAAGATGTGTATTATGTGGGCAGATTTGGCGAGAGGTGATTTGAGCTAGGGGGGGATTTGGTGAGGTAATAAATGCTATGATGGAGGCTTGGGAGGGAAAGGATTTGTGATATGAGGGGAGTTTGAGAGGGAGAAGATATGTGCAAGGCAGGTGGATTTGGTGGGAGGATATTTCTGCTAGGAGGGGGGATTTATGCTAGGAGGGGGGATTGGGAGAAGAGGATCAGGAGAACTGATTTGTGTCAAATAGAATGTATGTATGGGAGAGGATGCTAGCAGGGGGATTAGCATTTTTATGTGGGAGAATTTTAGCTTGCAGTGGGGACTTAGCTTGTGTTACAACCCCTGTCTTTCCTTGTTTACAGTTTCTGACCCCTGCACTATACACATTGCATACTCCTGATCCCTGCACATGGTGAGTTACACATACCCAACCCCTGTATTTGTGTGCATTATATACTCCTGACCCCTGCACTCTATGCATCATATACCGTATTTTTTGCTCCATAAGATACACTTTTTTTCCCAAAAAAAAGAGGGGAAAATGTCAGCGCGTCTTATGGAGCGAATATGGAGTCTGGTATTTTCGCCGCCGCCACCATGTCAGAATAACGTGCCGGCCGCTCATCTCTTCTCTGCAGCAGAAACTTACCTGTTCCTGGGCGCAGCCCTGTACAGTCTTCCGGCGCCGCATTTTTAGTGTGGGCACCCGGCTGTGACAGGGTGCCCACTGCGCATGCGCGAGAAGCGCTGTGCTTTGTGAATGGTACAGCGTCTTCTGGGACACATGACAGGTGCCAGAAGACTCTGGAGCAATTACAAAGAGCAGAGCTTCTCGCGCATGCGCAGTGGGCACCCGGCTGTCAGCCGGGTGCTCACACTAAAGGGAGGACAACTCCACGGAAGTGGGAGCGAGTACCTGTCAAATTCAGGTACCTGCTCCCCCTCCCTCCCCAAAGGTCCGCAGTCTCTGGTCATCCCCTGTACTGTCTGCAGTCTCTTGTTCATCCCCTTTACTGTCCGCAGTCCCTGGTCATCCCCTGTACTGCGTCCGCAGTCTCTGGTCATCTCCTGTACTGTCCGCAGTCTCTGGTCATCTGTACTATGTCCGTAGTCTCTGGTCATCCCCTGTACTGTCTGCAGTCTCTGGTCATCCCCTGTACTGTCTGCAGTCTCTTGGTCATCCCCTGTACTGTCTGCAGTCTCTTGGTCATCTCCCCTGTACTGTCTGCAGTATCTGGTCATCCCCTGTACTGTCTGCAGTCCCTGGTCATCCCCTATGCTGTCTGCAGTCTCTGGTCATCCTCCTGTACTGTACTGTGTCGCCAGTCAGTTCTGGTCATCTCCTGTACTGTCCGCAGTCTCTGGTCATCTCCTATAGTATGTCCGCAGTCTCTGGTCATCTCCTGTACTGTGTCCTTGCAGTCTCTGGTCATCTCCTGTACTGTGTCCGCAGTCTCTGGTCATCTCCTGTACTGTGTGTCCGCAGTCTCTGGTCATCTCCTGTACTGTGTCCGCAGTCTCTGGTCATCTCCTGTACTGTGTCCGCAGTCTCTGGTCATCTCCTGTACTGTGTCCGCAGTCCTCTCTGGTCATCTCCTGTACTGTGTCCGCAGTCTCTGGTCATCTCCTGTCCGCAGTCTACTGTGTCCGCAGTCTCTCTGGTCATCCCTGTACTGTGTCCGCAGTCTCTGGTCATCTCCTGTACTGTGTCCGCAGTCTCTGGTCATCTCCTGTACTGTGTCCGCAGTCTCTGGTCATCTCCTGTACTGTGTCCACAGTCTCTGGTCATCTCTGTATCTCCTGTCATCTCCTGTACTGTGTCCGCAGTCTCTGGTCATCTCCTGTACTGTGTCCGCAGTCTCTGGTCGTCTCTGTACTATGTCCGCAGTCTCTGGTCAATCCCCTGTACTATGTCCGCAGTCCTCTGGTCATCCCCTGTACTGCGTCCGCAGTCTCTGGTCATCTCCTGTACTATGTCCGCAGTCTCTGGTCATCCCCTGTACTATGTCCGCAGTCATCCCTGGTCATCCCCTGTACTGTCTGCAGTCTCTGGTCTCTGGTCATCCCCTGTACTGTCTGCAGTCTCTGGTCATCCCCTGTACTGTCTTTCAGTCCCTGTCTCATCCCTAATGCTGTCATGCAGTCTCTGGTCATCCTCTGTACTGTGTCCGCAGTCTTAGGTCATCTCCTGTACTGTCCGCAGTCTCTGGTCATCCTCCCTAGTATGTCTGCAGTCTTCTGGTCATCTCCTCTTTACTGTGTCCGCGATTAGTCTCTGGTCTATCTCCTGTACTATGTCCGCAGTCTCTGGTCATCTACTGTATGTGTCCGCAGTTCTCTGGTCATCTCTCTTACTGTGGTCCGCAGTCTCTGGTCATCTCCTGTACTGTGTCCGCATCTTGGTCATCTCCTGTACTGTGTTCGCAGTCTCTGGTCATCTCCTATACTGTGTCCGCAGTCTTCTGGTCATCTCAGTACTATGTCTGCAGATCTCTGCGGTCCTCTCCTGATACTATGTCTGTTGTCTTGGTCATCTCCTGTACTGTGTCTGCGAGTCTCGGTCATCTCCTGTACTGTGTCCGCCAGTCTCTGGTTCATCTCCTGTTACTATGTCTGCAGTCTTCTGGTCATCTCCTGAATGTGTCTGCAGTCTCTGTTATCTCCTGTACTGTGTCGCATTTTTGTCAGTCTTGGTCATCTCCATATACTTGTCTGCAGTCTCTGGTCATTCTCTGTATGTGTTCTGCAGTCCAGTGGTTCAGAATATTTTTTTTCTTAACTCCTCTACAACCTAGGAGCGACTTTTGTCAGGTGCATCTTATGAGACGAAAAATATGGTATTCCTGGCCCTTGCACTGTGAATTACATATTGCTAACCTCTGCACCCTGGGAGTATGTATTCCTGACTCTGAACTCTGTGTGCCACTATTTCTTTTGAATGCACTCGTTTTCATGCTCTGATCCCAAACCAGCACTGACCACAGCACTCTGTTCATTACAGACCCCCAACACTGCACCACGTGCATCACAGACCATAACCCATGAAACTCTTTGCAGTTACAGACTCCATAGGGGTCTATGTGTGTGGGAGGGTTCTCTTTAAAGGACCAATGGGGGGGTTTTTTTCCCCTGATGTCTCCCCTGCCCCCCAATAGTAAAGCACAGATAGAATCCTTTAGCTTTTGGGTTTGGCAAGGAAAAACAGCCAAACCATAAAAGAGGATTAAATATTGTATCTTAGAAAAGGAGGTGAATATCTAATGGATGCACTGATTCCTTCCTTTTACCTGCAGCACCCCCCTGCTGGTCCTAGGGATGTTAAGTGGGGGATAAGGCCCGGGAAAATTGGTGGTGGTGGGGGGGGGGGGGGGGGGGGGGGGGGGGGGGGGGGGGGCCCCGCCTGGGATTTGTGTAAGTGATTTTGGTTACTGTATGCTTACTTTGATAGTGACATTTGGTATCAGTGTCAACATCCCCCGGTGCCAACATCAGGGGCTAAACTTTACCCCCCCCCCCCCCTTCCTCTGTTTTGCAATTTGGCCATTGTTCTATAGATTAAAAGGGGTTGAGCATAAGTTCGGGTCAGTAAAACTAAAAAAAAAAAATAAAAAAAAACAAAAAACGATAATTCACTTTCATGTTAAAAAAGTCCAGTCGCTAAAATTTTGTTATTTGAAAATGCCCCAAAGATAAAAAAAATTTTTGGGAAATCACCTACCATTACAAAAAAAGCCCCTTTTAAAATATTTTTTAAAAGGCAGGGCCTAAAAATACATTCTATTTTCTGAAAAATGTGGGGAAGCTTTTTACAAATGCTTAAACCCTTTTTTCAGAGCAATTTTCATGACTTTCCAACCCCATTGTAGGGAAATTTTCATTTCAAATTTTGGGCATACTATTACTTAAGTGAAAATTTATAGTTTTACATTTTGAAAAAGTTTGTGTCCCCCACAGGGGTTTGTGTAAGCATTTTGTTTTTTGCAGCACGGGCAAATTTTTTTTTTAACCCCTGGGGGTTATAAGCACTTCTATGAAAAAATCGGGCCCAAAGGGGTCTTCGGGATTTTCTTTTTTCCAAAAAATGTTTTTTTAAAAATTTTTTTTTGGGTTTTTTTTTAAATTTTAATTTTTTTTTTTATGTTTTTTAATTGTTTTTTTAGGTTGTTTTATTTTTTTTTTTTTTTTTGTAGGGAGGTTTTTTTTTGGTTAAAAGGAAAAGTTTTTCAGAATTTTCTTGGGGGGGAAAATTTTAAATTTTTAAATATGTAGGATAGTTTTTTGAAAAATTAAAGGGTTTTTGTTAATTGTTTTTTTTTTTTTTAAAAATTTTTGGGTTTTTTTAATTTAAAATTTTTAAATAAAAAACATTTTTAATTTTTTAAAAAATTTTTTTAAGGGGGTTTTAAAGGGGGGTTTAAAAATTGTTTTTTTTTTGTTTCCCAAGGATTTTTAAAGGGGGTTTTGTTTAAACTGATTTTGTTTAAAAAAAAACAATATTTTTTTTTGGAATTTTTTTTTTTTAAATTTGGTAATTAACATGACGAAGTGGTTTTGAGGTCCCAAAAAACCCTTTTTAATCCAGTTCTTTGGGGGGGGGGTGAAATTTTTGCTTGCTTCCCCATATGAAGAAGGAAGATGGCAATTTTCAAATTCTGGGTGGGGTTTTTAATGTGGGCCCCCTTTGGTTTTTGTTCCCCCCCAGGTCAATTTTATTCTACCATGGTTCTTTTGCCCCCGGCCCTTTTGCTCCCCCCTTTTTTTCCAGCTGCAGGGCAACCTGCGCTCAGCTTTAGCCCTTTTAAAAAAAGCAGCATTCCTGTGCTCTATGCCCCTTTGTGTGGATTTTTTTCCCGGGTGTCTATTTTTCCCGTGTGAAATGCTAAACTACTAGTTTTGGATTTCCCGCCCGAAATTTTGCATTCCTCTGTCTGACTGTGTATGGGCCTTTGTCTGCCCTTTAATATTCCAAATCCCGATTTTGTGCCTGTTGCCCGAAATTTTTTGCTGACCTTTACCTGCCCGACTATGCTTAAGCCCCAACCTGAGCTCCACTTCGGATCCACTTTAAAAACCGGTACCTTTTTTTACCCCCTTAACCCTCCAGTTTAAGGCTGGCCCCCCTATTGAAAATTAGGTTTGGGGCCAAAAAAGTTTTTGTTTCCTGTCAGTATCAAGCATTTAAAGCCCTTTTTGGGGAACAATGAGAGAAACTCAGGCACCGCACACCAAGGGAAACTCAGTGTGTTTAAAAATGGGATAGCAGCCCCCACCTAACTAAAGGGGGGGGGGCAAACTGTATTGGGTAGGTTTGGGAGGGTGTATCCCCCTTTTAAAATGCTGGGGAGGGGCGGGACCCGACCTTTTTGGAAAAAAAAATGTCAGGGTCCCAGGTATGACCCGAGGTGTGTGACTTTATGCAGGGGAAAAGCGACTTCAGATATTTGATAAACAATACAATTTTTTTTAACATAACCAAACAAACATTTAAAACCCGTGCAATACTAAAACATTAAAACAGTGGGAAACAAACCAAAACCCAAACCCCCCACAGAAAAAGTATATACAAGAAAAAAAAAAAGGGCGCAGGCAGGGCCGGGGCAAAATCAATTGGGAAAGGGAGGTACAGGGGGGGC